TTCCGTGGAAACATCGAGGTGGCCCTAATTGATGAAATCTGGTTTCTGCAAGGCCCACCCACACGCCGGGGTTTGTGTGCTGTGATGTACTTTTAGGACTTCATGCTTCGTTGCACTGCCGAAGTAGATCTGGGAAGCCGTTCAGACAGAGCCACATGGTTGCGATCTCCGACAAAGGCTGTAGCTTACTTGTCACTTGAAAAGTGTATATTCTTTGAATAAACTCGTTCAATTGTATGTCACTTTTTATACTGACTGTTAACTGACTCCTGTTTTAAGTAAACGTATGCCCGGATATAATATGCATATATACAGATGGCTTTGCTAGCACCTGCTGGTCTCTGACAACATTGTGCGTTCATGGGAAATTCACTCTTAGAAAACAATTTTAGCTTGTTTTTGAGTGATTGTAGGCTTTGTTGCTGGTGGCAACTGCTTCTGTTTTGCTCCTTTATGCGAAAACAAGTATTTCTATTAAAGGGGCCTTGAAACACATTTTGAGCATGGTCTTAAAACACTACCGATCGGTAGAAGAGGCTCCCGGTAACATGCGAGCCAAATAATATAGCGCAGCACGCGGCTTGGAATTCACAATAAATTTTCAAAGTCAGTTAAACATTCCTTCCTCTTCTCTTGACGAATGACGCAATATACCAAAAAGTAACACGTAGCAAGCCCATCTAACAGCTATTGGCTCATTTGAACATGGCACGCTCTCTCGTTACAGCGATCGCCGTGGGAGGCCGCTACTTGTCCACGCGGGCGCACGCGATCACACTGAGAAAGTCGCGCATTCGAAAAAAAAAAAGAAAAAGTGCTCAAGGTCACGGGGCGTGCGTGACGTTTCTCTGTGGCCATGCCATCCCTCCCTGCTTAGCTTCCAGCGCTTTCGTCAGGACGAGACAAAAGAGAATGTGATGGCAGCGTTTGACAAATCTTTGTAACTCCTCTCGTGCTGAACGGATTCTTAAAATTTTTTTCGGCATTGAATTCGTGAGGCAATAAGCTCTTTTAGTGAATTCATTCCATGGTTACTTGAAAAAGTGTTTGAGGACCCCTTTAAGCGCTCGCAACTCGGGCACAGCTGTGTCATGCCAGGATGTAGTTTTCTAGCATGAACTAATTTTGTATGCTAGTTTTTGTTTCAAAACATCATGTTACCCGACCAAGGGAGACAAAAAAAAGCGCGTCTGAATCGGAGCAATCACGTGACAAAAGAGAATTCCCACAAAGACTGTGCATGGTTTTGTTCTGCCAGCTTCATTAATGGCAATGTGAAACTCAGCACAGACTAATGGCACTTAGTCTATGTTCAAACATTAGTTTAATCGAAGGTCCCGAGGTACAGGGGACACATAGGACACCGTAGTCTACCACCCGAGGAAGATATGTGCGCTGACGCCTGAAACGGGTAGCAAAACATGAAAGCTAACACCGAAAATTCATTGCAAAAGTGTTTTTGCATAGTTTTGAACCACGTACAACAATGATGTGTACTGTTCGAACAACATCACATGTAAAGTAGCCACGCTGAGCACCATTAATGATCACAGTTTACGTCGCAGGGTTTACGTTTTGTTGCCGATGCATGTTTTTTTAAGCGATTCCTTCGAGTAGGTTTGCATCTTTGCAAGTAAATGACTGCCGCAAGTGATCACCACATTCCCGCTAACGTATATTCCGGTGTGAACGTGGACTGTAGCTTTAGGTCGGTCTAACTTTAAAGTTAGATTGCTGAATAGTTTACTAGCGAGTAAACCTTACTAGATTGCGTGACTCAGGCGCAGTTGACGTGCTCGCATGATCAGTACATTTTATAATTTCTCAGTCACACCAGACACTTCGCATCTCGAGTGATGCCGTTGGGCGCTGATGTCTATAAAAAGTGCCAGGAATTACACTGGTGCAGAAACGAGCGTTTTATCCTGATGTGTGCTTGGACGAAAACACAAACATGTTTGTGGCTTTAAAATAGTCAGGTTTCCAGCTCTAGTCAAAAAAGCTGAATGAGCCTTTTCCTAGTCCGCACAGCACTCAAGTGGAGATCACCGAAATCGAAAATTGGTGGCTCTTGGACTCCGAAATGGCCCTCCACCTGCCGGTAGGCACTCTCCGAGGCCTGCATTCGCGCCTACCTTTGGAGAAAACATTTTCATGTTTGCGGCATCAGATGTCGCTTGGTCCACACGTGTCATCACGTTTTCGCCGCCAAAAATCGTGGTGCGTTCCGTGCGCGTGCCTCTTCGTGTCCGGCGCGTATGCACAGACTACCTATTCGGAAAAGGCCCATTGTACAACCTCACTACGGATCGAATATCTCTTCTACTGAGTGTTGATGATGTGGGTGCGCTGTGAATACGCGAACGAGGAAAAGACAGGTCTGTCCTTTCTCTTCCTTGTCCGTGTCTACCAAGCGCACGCACATCGTCGGCATACGGAATCAACTCGCCTACTCAAGTTCGCTGACATACTTCTCCGGCAGTTTATGCATTTTCTGTTCGTACCCCTCTCGTGCACAATGTCGAGCCGCTTCATGTTGCCGCTAGACATTGCTGTGAACACATCCTAAGGAACGCATCAGATATAGCACACCAGAAGTTCACAGCTTTGTCGACTTTGCACCAAATTACATCCTCTTCTCTTGCTCCCATTGTCACTAATGATGACAAAACTAAGATGCCAAAATTATTGTATGTTGGTCTTGCTGACACAATACCTCAAATGTAAGTCTTGATTGTGATAATTATTCATTCATTTTGAGTACGATCTGGAAACCGAAGAGTGAACGAAGGGAATAGGGAAATAACTAATGCACTTTATTGCTGATGTGTTCTATGTACAGGATGTTTCGATGCGAAGCTTTTTAACAATGTTTATTTTTCTGGAGAAAAGTAAAACGCACCGTTTAGACGCGTTACAAGATATACGTAACGGAAAAAGCAAAAAAGTAGCGTGAAAAATAAATGTCTTGTTTAACATCGAGCAGAAGAAAACAAGAAGGGGCAATAAACGCTAAAAAATGACAGTGTAAGCCATTCCGCGGTTTTAAGGGAGATGACCAGAAAAGCTGTGTAGCGCGTCACGCAGTGGTAACATAATGTAGGCGTGTTTAGTATCACTGGTCGGGTTGTACATGGGTGCACAACGTTCAGACTACTGTACGTAGTCGACCGTGAGTCCATGACTCATCGGGGAAGACATCCCCATCGAAATGCAGGCTGATAGGCATTTTCTCGCTAAGAATATCATAAGGCCGCATCCCATACTTCGAGGCACGAGAAGGCTTTTTTAAAACGACCCATTTCTGAAAGCCAGCTAACAAAGACCGCAATGACAGCGCTTTATTTAAACGCAGCTTCCTTTCTTAAAACAATTGCATTTTTCCCTGCAGTGTACGCCACCTTACTCCATGATAAGAAAAGTTGCAGGATAATTTGTATTATTTTGTTAATTGTTTGCTGCGGCCTATAGGCTTGTGCGTGTCCTAGCAGAACACATCTAGCGTGGCTCACTACTGCAATCATGAGAAACCTGTCGAAAAAAGGAGTTTGTTTCATGAATGGATCGCGAAAATGCTTGGATGACTGTCTATACACCGCTACATTCGTCCGAAGTGTTTACTTAGAAATATGACTTCGTTCTTTTACTTAGTCTTGGTCTTTCTTTCTACGGCATTTTGTGACCTCACTGAACTTGTACCGTGATGCACTGGGCACTCTAAAGTGAAACTCTTGGATTGTCAGTTATTTACGTTTTTGATTGCTCGCATATGGTAGACAAAGTGCAGTTGCATTAGAGTGCTAGTTCTCCAAGCACTAGAGTTCGCACTACCTCACTGAAAAATTGAGCTCTGTCATGTCTTCTGTGTGCACTCAAATGAGACATCAATGGAGAACTCGGAAATTTACAACTTTATTTTAGTGACCTGAATAAAAAGACTATTTCTTTATTTGCAGTTTAAAAACTATATATACCACATAAACACTGCTCATACGATCATTTAGTAAAAGGCGGGGGAAATGAGTAAACGAAAAATTGGGGATTGTCTAGTCAAAAAGAGAAGACGAAGAGGGTACCACCTATGTTTAAGAACTTCAATACACAGGCACTGATTATAACGTCGAAGTAATGTTTTTTGCGCTGCGTTTATAAGAGAACAGTATTCTTCGTTGGAACTACGTAATTACGTACAGGTTTAAATAGCCTATGTCAGTGGTTAGTAAACCTGTGAGATGGAAGGTCAAGCTGCTTGAAGCTGATAGGGTGGGGATGCTCTTATCCGCCTACTCCACCTCCCCCTAGAAAGAGGAGGAGAGGGTGGAGGAGGAGGGCTTCTTGGGCAATGAGGAAAAAACTGGGTGAGTTCACAAAATGCACACAGCCAGAGGAGAAAAAATGTCCCTTTTCAGAACGTATACTATAGGGTTCTGATTTTTGAAGTTGGGTTACAAACAGTAAAACAAAATCTCATTCACTGCGACTTTTGGAGCTTCACATTCTTAGCCAACTAGAAGCTATCGACTTCAATGTCGTGCGCAGACAAACGCAGGAAGGTGTGGTCAATAGAATGAAAGGGTCAATAAAACGTCGCAAAATGAGCGTTATCTGTAACGAATTCAGAGGAAATGAAAGGCACCTGCTTTACATCATGACCTCAAAGATAAAGCCTTGTCAGTCACGCACGCTTAAATGCCACAGGCAACGTATTTTCGAAATCACTAACCAAAGTGTGCCTGTATAATTTGCTTTCGTGTTGTTTAAGGGCTTTCCTCAAGAGAACTTTCCGATTACCAGCTCCGCAGAATTTCCAATACTGACTTTAGCGGTGTATTTTACTGATTTAAAATTACTTTAATAAACATAAAAACCGCAGCTGTTAGCTTTATTCCGGCTTAGTTTACTAAAATATATCATGTTTCAGTGTGAATACATAGGAAAAAAAAAAGCCAAGGGGAGCTTCTTTACGATAGCGTTTGCTTCAATAGGTCGGAAGTTCAGTCTAGTTGACGATGAAATATTTACGTAGCACCTAACGTATGTGAATTATTATTTGTACACATAAACACCAACGGCAGTACGAAAAAAAAAGAAACTGAACAATTAAGTGGCGTTGTTTTTTTTTTTTTCATCTTGGCATTCTCTCTACGCTGCGTTAGTGAGTATGCCTTTATTCGCACCCTGCATGTGAGACAAGACAAATTAAAACCGACGGTGGATATTACGAATGAATATGCTAGCGACGCATCACCGTGTAGAAAAAGTTTCGTAAGGTTTAGTAAGTTAAGCAGTGTGTTTTAAAATAAAAAAAGCGAAATGTTCACAAATAACTAGGGTCTCCGGCCAATTGTCGATGCTGCTTCGGCTAGAAGTTCGATAAGGCTGTCGACAGCCACTTCCTTGTCGCCCAGTTGTGGCAAAGGCTTCAGTGCCTTGCAGGCATCCGAGCCTTTGGTGTGGACGGCGCAGGCGGCTCGCAGCCCTGTTCCCACCACTCGCTCCATGGCGCCGAGCAGGAACTCCTTGGCGCCGACGTGGTGGCAGGTCGCCAGGGTCTGGCTCACGCACTCCTGTTACATTGTGGTACGCACTGCGATTCACGTCGGCAGAAAGAAATCGGAAACCGGAATTCAAACAGGTCAACTGATAGCGTAGGTTCTTCGTTATACATATAGAAGAGACCATGATACAATCGAGATAAGGCAGTGCGATGATGGCACAACGTGGCTCGCATATTTGCTAGAACCTACCAGAGTGAGCGTGGAGTAAATGTGGACAGAAGAAGCAGAAAAAGAAAGCATAAACAAAGTGGACATGCAGGTGTCGTAACACACGGAAGGTAAAAGTGGCGTGACAGATAAGCACTTCACCTCTGAGGGCACCAGGCTGCGTTTGAGAATGCACGGAAGCCGGTTGTAAGGCGAGCGAATGATTGCACTCGCCATTCTAGAAGCAAGGGAATGTTCAATGCAGACTTGTACGTTGAGTAGGTAGGTACTAAATGCTGATGCACGTGCGTTAGTAAGGTGCTGAAGCTTCTGCCTACGTGCGTATTTTATTTATTACTTGCCCTTCGGCATTAAGATTATTTTCTAGGAGATACTCGAAGATATTTGATTCATGTAGAAAGTACATCAGTCAACGGTGATATGGCTCGTATTTCAACCGAGAAAAGACTGGTGGTCCGCCAGCGGGACCCAAACGTTGGCAGACAGGGCCAGTAAACAACCGAACAGAACCAAGAATCTTTGGATTCGACGTAGATAATCTGACACCGTTGCTATAGGCTGGTGAGCTGAATGTGGCTGGTTCTATTGGCGATAAATGAGACCACATTCCATAAGTTGTATAAATTCAACAACGCTTCTCTTGATGAGCCCGACATGAAGGCTAAAGCAATTGACTTGGTGGAACAGCTGTGTCATCAAACAACACGGAAGAAAAAAAAAACGGGAAGGAAATCCTGATGCTTTCCTTTATTCGTCTTTGTTCTTTGAGTGCACTTTCTATCACGATGAACATGCATTATGTAGACAGAATATGTCTTACGTTAAACTGCTTGACTTAGATCAAATGAATTCGCAGCCACTAGTTACCTTGTTCCAACCAGTTTTGTACTGTGGAACACGGACCTCCCACAGTCAGTCAAATAATTCACATGCAGACGTCCTTACTTACCAGCAAGTGTAGTGGATTGCTTCTTTCGCTGGAGCCTTGAACACAGCTCTCAGCACAGCGCTTTTCAAGTTATCAAAGCAGGCGTGCAGTTTGTCACCGGCGTGGTTCATGCATTTGACTCCCGTCAAATACGCTGCGAGGGGACAAAAATGTAAAGAAAAAAGTGTAAAAGCAATATCACTAGCCATCCGTAACATATAGCGTCATTATATGTACCTGTAAAAATGCTTGCGTCAGCCTATGCGCATGCGTCAAGCGAAAGCAAGCCCGCAGCAACAGAATCGAAAGTTGGGCTAGTTGCATATGCATGGTATAACTGTCAGTTCAAGCGCACGAATAAACAGAAAGGAAGAGAGGACAAGTGCTTGTCCTCTCTTACTTTCTGTTTATTCGTGCGCTTGAACTGACAGTTATACCGCAGCTATTGCCCATCGCCTAAACAACAGCAGCCAAAATACGTGAGGTGTTTATCTAAGCTATATTACATTGCCGCGAGCACGGCATGAGATTACGCTGTACCACTGTGTGTATGTGTGACCACAAAGATCCCTAAAATTAACAAGAGGGGATTCAGGCGCTGCGATTGTCCAGCCACCAAGGAAATCATGGGTAGTACACAAATTTGACTAGTCTTTGTGCTTGCTGACTCCGAACGCAGTCGTGGTTTTGTTTATTGCTGTTTTAGTTTTTTCTGGAATAAAAAAACAGACCGCCGTGAACCTCGAAACCCGATTTGAAGTGGTGAGCCTAAAAGGGTAAAGTATTTAGGTGTGACTGCTGAAAATTTTGTAGATTTTTGTTTCGAGACAAAGCGGTTTCACGTTACGCGAAGCTATCAAAGTAGGATGAACGAAGATTAGACAAATTTGTTTACTACCCATCCTTCCCATGCTTGCTGAAGCGCCGTGCGTTGCAGCTCCCGCAGACACTAACGCCAGAGTTCCGTCCAGTGTGTATACAGAAAACTCTGTGAAATGATGCTGAAACAGGGATCATCATCGTGTGAATGCACAAGCGGTCTTTATATATTTTTTAATCGTTAGTGATACTATTATGACGTCGAACTGAACCAATCACTGGAAACATGAGTACATCATCTTTTCACTTTCTTGTTCTTTCTTCTGTTTCGCAGAGGCCTATACAGTGACGTAGTGTATCTGATTTTATACCTGTGGCAATGTTCCCTAAACAGACGTGTGAGTGTAGTTAAGTAAACGCCCGGTCATCTCTAACAGACAAGAACGCGCATCCTTGTATCATGTAGAACCACAAAGGACGCCTAAGTATTAATAATATGTATTTTATATATCTTAATGAGCCACTGATGTGGCTACATGTTTAAAAAACGTGGTTATTCAAGTTTATTGATGTAGTAAATGCTTAAAGTCAAATTTAAAAAGTCAAGCAGTTTTTTTTTCGTCTCTCCCTTCTTGTTCGTTCTCTGGTTCATCACCTGTCTGTTTTTTTTCAGGAGAGGAATTAATAGCTAGCCAACTCTCACACCCTTTTATTTGGCACTTTGCCTCCGTATAACTGATTTGACTTCCTACTTCACGACAATGACAGGGTGAGAAAAAGATAAATGTCAGGGTGAAAGACTGCGGAATCGAAACCACATATAATTCTTGCCTGAAGGTGTAAGTTCAAGAAATAGAACTTGCAACTGTCGAAATCCCTGTTGTTTACTTTTAGAATCCTTGCAGTCATCTTTATTACCTGTACGTTCACTTTTCGGATGCTGTGTTTCTGCAGCATCATTTGTTAATCATATCAGAAAATATCCCTTGGCTACAGTTCCCAAATGCTTTGGTTTGTTTGGTTTACACAGTCCAAAAATGAATACCAGTCACTTTCCCACTCACCTTTGTTTGGTCCAGAACCCGGAGTGCAAACGGCTTCTATGTTCTCGCCCAGTGCAGCTACAGTTGCAAGTGCCACGGACTGGCTTCGGCCCCTGGTGCACTCATGGTGGAAATGAAGTGTGCACGCGATCTGCTTCTTGTATTTTCTGCGCCGCAAAATTATAGCGCATTCATTGTAAGCACGTAATTCGTAAATTCACCTTATGTCTAATCAGAAGCCAACCTAACTTTGCAGCTATACTTTATTGCTGACTTAATTCCATACGACTTCCCTTTCCACTCTGAACACGGCTCACAATGCGGCTGGAATATTTTCTACTTATACTGGTTTTAACGCAAACTACACCAATGCGTCGAATAGGGCGCTTTGGAGATTTCATTTTTTTCCACGGCCTTTACATGTACTGCGGTCCACTGTTAAAACTAACACTCGAATGTACACTTTTCACACTGGTGGCCCCAACAATGCAAGCAACAGTGCTTGCACTGTTACGGCATCTGCTTGCCCCAACAGTGCAAGCAGATGCGTATATATAGCTTCAAAACAATCCTAGTTTGTCCAAATACTAAAAATAGTGGGTATTAGCAGTTTTTAGCAAATATATGCGACTATGTTTTTGTAGAAGAAACAAATCCAAACATGCCTTGACCACCCGTGCTGGCGTTGATGCTGCACCCGTATGTATGAGTAAAGTCTGCTAATTGTACTTATAAACACATAATATGAGTATATTTACATTTAAGCGTATCTAAGGGCAAAAACTTGGCAAACATGACGGTATAACAGTCGACGCATATTTGTCACAATCTACCGACTTGGCGGTATGTTAAAATAACATAGAGCAACGTTGCCCCCCCCTTTTTTTTTACAAGCCGGAAATAGAAACATTATCCAAAAACATTTCTACTTGTAGAAGTACTGATTGTTAAAAGTAAAAAAAAAAACAGTGCCTCTGCTGAGCGCACAGCAATGCCACAGCGACAGCTCGAAGAGTTGGCTTTCAGGGCCTATTTTTAAACACAGTTTTGGTCTGCATTAACGGGGCGGTCGTTAGTACAAGGAGTTGCGGTATGATATTTTGTCTACTTCTTCATATACAGTGTTGTTACCGAGCTCGTGGAGCCTTTTTTGTGGCACACCAAAGAAAGTTTACTCGCGCGTCCTGGTGATTCTTTCAGCAACGGACAGCAGTCATTATAAGCATGTCATGCATACTTTCTTTAGGCCACCGCGCTAGAGGTGGTATCCACTGACGTCCTGCAGCCAGCATGATAGAGCACCAATAGTGAAAATCAGGGTTCATGGCGTTACGTGGGTGTTGTCAGTTTGTCGCAAGCAGGTTCTCTTCATGTTCCGGCATACAACACCATACCGGCCTTTTTTTTGCGTTGAAGAAAAGAACCCCATTGCGGAAAATAGGCGCGTAGTACCACATACTCCTGACCCTAACCAAACTGCTTCCACAACGTTGCACCACATTTATGAACCGGAGCATATTTCGCCTTGAATTTGCTTCAAATGTACGATCTACTAACACAAAACTGTTTAGCGACAGGTGTTACCACGCTGCTAATAAACTAAAACATAGGTGTGTTTCAATAAATGCTTCAAAAGCTGCTGCGAAAGTTAATCCGAGAGCTTTCAGTGTTGGGCAAAACACTGAAGAACTTCAGTGAGTTCACCGAGGGGACCTTACGGGTTTTGTGTGCTTGCTACATTGCTGACTCGTGTGTTGTATTTGAACTTCAACAGTCACTCGCAGCAGCTAATGCTGACGACATTGTTCAATTGTGCAGTGAAGCAAAAGGGACGGCTTTCAGCTCTCCCATTGTAGAGTAGCGACTACTCTGAATCGTCACCCCTTTCTTCTAAACACACGACTTGAAACTCTCAGTACGTCATCAGAGATTCTTCTGGTGAGATAGGGACGGCTTACTGCTCTCTCATAGTTGAGTATATGAAATTGTTATATACTTTTTCCTAACTACACTACTGGCCTTGTACGGACCGGGATGGCCTCTCCCATGGCCGAGTACCTAGTACTCTATATCGTTTAAACACTTCTTCTAAACACACTCGACATGAACTCACAAAGTGTGAGGCCAAGCGGGATGCTTTTTCTTCTCTCATAATATAGTACCAAGTACTCTAAATTATTATTAACTTTTTTATACAGGCTCAGCTCTATTAATCGTATAAATCTGGAAACTGTTTCATGGCGTATTTTAGGGGCGAAGCTCCGAAAGCTGTGGGTCTCTCCACGAATTTCTCTGACCGGTTCGTAACCACCTAGTTGTATGACTCCCACAGCAGGCGGCGCTAGTGTGAGTGACGTATGGGCGGATGGACGGACGGACGGACGGACGGACTGACGGACGGACAGACGGGCGGACAGACGGGCGGACAGACAGACAGACAGACAGATGGATGGACAGACGGACGGACGGACAGACAGACAGACAGACAGACAGACAGACAGACAGACGGACGGACGGACGGATGAAGGAACGTTTCGCCCCTCTCACCCTCAATCACCCCGTTTATATACTGTGACTTTTTTTTTTGTTCTACGCGGCCTCATGAAACTTGAGGCCCACGGGGCGGCTTCATGCTCTCCCATAGCACAGTACCAAGTACTGAAACCATGAACCCTTTTTTCTTTACACACTAAGATCAAAGCAACTTTGTTGATCTGCTAACGCTCCTGCGTTTGGGCAATAATTTCCGTCTGCAGGACCTCATCAAGTATGATAACCACGAGACAGCTGTCTGCTCTCCCGTAGCAGAGTACAAAATACGAAGTCATTAAACACTTTTTAGAGTGAACGCTCTTATGACAACAGAGTACGGGTCCCGTGCGATGCCGTTGGTCTAGAAGTTATAAACCACGGTTTTGTCTAACTCCCACACTGTGGCTCGTTATGCCTTGCCAGGAATATAAAACCAAATGATCATATAATGAAGGTGGTAAAAATGTTACCTTAAAGGTGAATCTTCTAAAGCGTTAGGTTTGTCCATGCATGTCGGTGACCTGTTCGTAACCACCTAGTTGTAGGACTCACTCAGCAGGTGGCGCTAGTGTGAATGACAGACAGACAAACAGACAGACAGACAGACAGACAGACAGACAGACAGACAGACAGACAGACAGACAGACGGACGGACGGACGGACGGACAGAAGGACGGACCGCAGGAATGCAGTCAAGCAGGAGTGCAAGGAACATTTATGGCTAAAAGGAAAAGTGGCTGGTCAAATGACACTCCTTGGTTTCGTGTACTTGTGCATGGAAGCAAAGGCCAGAGAGGAAAACCAGACAATGGTAGAGTGTATATCAAAGGACATTCAGGAGTTAGGAAGAGAGTGCGAGATAATTATACCAGGAGACATGAATGCGCACTTAGAAGATATAGATGGGTATACCGACCCGACAGGCAAAATGATCATGGATATGTGTGAAAGGCTTGATTTGATCATTTGCAACAGTACCGAGAAGTGTGAAGGGCAAATAACATGGGAGGTAGAAAGGCTTCAGTCGACGATAGATTATGCACTGATGTCAGATAGGATGTATGATAAGCTCAGAAGAATGCACATAGACGAAGGTGGCTCCAGAATTCTGGGTAGCGATCCCAAACGTATCAAGCTAAGTTTTGGAAGAGCAGTGAAAGTGGGAAGGAGACAAGATGAGCAACTACAGGAAAATTTTTATCCAGAAAGGCAAGTTGAAATAGCCACTAAACAAATTGAAAAAGTAATCATGGAGGACAATAAGACGGTGTGGACATACACGAATCTAATTAGACCCTTTGAGCTAGAGCTTGCTAAGACGCGTGACAAGTCACCCCGGAAAAGAAGAAACAAACCCAAAAGTTGGTGGGATGAGGAAGTTAAGAGAGCCATAGCAAAACGTCAGGAAGCCTCTAGGGAACACAGACATGCTAAGCAGCGGGGTGAACCGACAGATGATGTTGAAAGAAAATGGGCAACCTTTCTAAGCTGTAGAAGGGATGCATCTCTTCTGATCAATGAAAAGATTAGAAGGAAGGGAGCTCACTGGCTGGCAGAAGTACATAAAAAGATAGAAAGGCAGCTGCGAAATTTTGGAACCATCTAAACTCCCTAAGAAATGAGACGAGCCTAGAGCACAGTTTTTTAACTACAGACCAAGGTGCTAGGCTAAAAGGGGACAAAGCTATTGAATATATAAGAGCAAGGGAGACAGAAAAATTTAAACAAAGAAGTACTTTATGCACCACAATAGACAAGGTCGAATCAAGTGGTGCAATGGCTCCATTTTCACAACAAGAGTGGGAAAGGGCTGAGAAAAGGGTACCTAGTAGTACATCAACAGGCCCAGATAGCATTCCAATTAGGTTGATAAAGGCATTAGGTCCGAAGTCTAAGCAGGCTTTGAGAGAGGCAGTGAGCACAATAATAATCGATGGGGAAGTTCCCGATGGATGGAAACTTAGAAGAGGAGCATGATCTATAAAAGAAAGGGGGACAAAGCTGACATAAACAACTACCGTCCTATAACAGTGACATCAGTGGTCTACAGGCTGGCGATGCAGATTATAAAGGAAAGACTGCAGGCGTGGATAGAGGATGAGGGGGTGCTGGGGGAACTGCAGAATGGGTTTCGGAAACACAGGAGGTTGGAAGACAATCTGTTCTCACTGACGCAGTGCATCGAAATAGCAGAAAAGGAACACAGGCCCCTGTGGGTAGCATTTTTGGATATCAAGGGAGCCTACGATAGCGCAGTTCAAGAGGAATTGTGGGGAATACTGGACACACTAGGCGTGGAACATGTAGTCACTAATCTTTTAAAGGGTATCTATAAAGGTAACAAGGTAGTTATAAAGTGGGGAAAACAGGTATCCAAGCCTGCAGAGGTAAATCGGGAGCTTAGGCAGGGGTGTCCCCTGTCACCTTTATTATTCATGATGTACCTACAAGAATTAGAGGCAAAATTAGAGGGAAGTGGACTGGGCTTCAACCTCTCTTTAGTCAAACAAGGAAAACTTATTGATCAGGTACTACCAGCATTAATGTACGCAGATGATATAGTGCTAATGGCCAACAACAAGGAAGATTTGCAGAGATTGATGGACATCTGCGGTAATGAGGGAGATAGGTTAGATTTTAGATTCAGTAAGGAAAAATCAGCAGTCATGATTTTCTATGACAACGAAGGTAGTGAGCTTAGAATACAGGAGGTCACGCTAGAGATAACAGATAAATACAAAATATATGGGCATATGGATAAGCAATGGGACCGAGTATCTGAGGGAACACGAAATATACGTGACGACTAAAGGTAACAGGAAGGCAGCAGTCATGAAAATATGGCACTGTGGAATTACAATAGGTATGATGTTGTGAGAGGAATATGGAAAGGGGTCATGGTTTCTGGGCTGACGTTCGGCAATGCGGTCTTGTGCATGAGATCAGAAGTTAAAGCAAGATTAGAAATTAAGCAACGTGGAATAGGTAGGCTTGCTTTAGGTGCTCACGGGAATACACCAAATCAGGGAGTACAAGGTGATATGGGATGGACATCATTTGAGGGCAGAGAAGCTAGCAGCAAGATAGAATTTGAGAAGCGATTGAGAGAAATGGGGGAAGAGCGTTGGGCTAGGAAGGTTTTCAGTTACTTGTACATGAAGAATTTTCGATACAATATGGAGGAAGCGAACCAGGAAGTTGACTGGTAAATACTTAGAAAACAGCAGGTGGCCAAACCAAAAAGAACTATCGGTTAAGAAGAAAGTGAAGGAAACGGAGACTGACATGTGGAGAATGGGCATGATTAAGAAGTCCGCACTAGAGATCTATCAAACTTTTAAGCAGGAAATTGCCAAGGGAAGGATCTATGATAATAATCGGGGTAGTCCTTGGGCCTCTTCTTTTCCTAATTTATCTCAACGATGTTGTCGAAATAACAATAAATACAAAGGTCAAACTCTGTCTATGCGCCGACGACTGTGTCCTCTATTCTTGTATTAGTACCTCCCGTGACCAAATACAGTTAAATAATGTTTTTTCTTCTTTCCGTACCTGGAGCTCAACGTGGCAAATGGCACTAAACCTTAACAAAAGGGTAAGCATGACATTCACAAACAAGAAGGAACCCCTAAGTTTTTCCTATGGCCAGAACATGAAGCATGTCAACGAATACAAGTATCTCGGCGTAACATTCTCACCGAACTTAAAATGGCATAAACATATAAACCTAACCTGCTCGAAAGCGCTCCGAAAATTGGGCTTCTTGAAGCGAACGTTAAAAGATGCAACTCACGAATGCAAACTAACAGCATACAAATCCCTGATACGGCCTGTTCTTGAATACGCCTCGGTTGTCTGGTCACCTCACTGCGCATGCGACATAGCACACTTGGAAGGTGTTCAAAAAAAAAAGCAATAAGATTCATATATCACCGTTATGATCACAATTTTTCGCCTTCGTCACACGCTGTACGTCTATCACTCAAATCACTTGAACACCGACGTACTTGCGAGCGTATTGGCACTTTACATAAAATCGTGAACAAGATAATCACCATTGACATGCCCTTTTCCTTTGCCAACTCCGTTGCAAACACTCGCAGGTCAAACCCCATTAACATCACACCCTTCATGCCATTTCTAGATTGTTTTAAGTTTTCATTTTTTTCCTTTCACAGTGGAATTGTGGAATAATCTGGATGTTTCTCTCCGAAAGTTGCCTACCAATAGTTTTTTGAATGAACTACCAAACCATGTGTTTTGTTAGTTTAGTGTGTATTCACTGTTATGGACCCACTCCTGCAATGTCTCGAACTGTGAGACAGCAGTATTTGTAAATAAAAAATAAAAAGTTCTCTACTGTTTGAGGCCAGGACGGGAGTACTGCGAACCAAGACATATCGGGCCAAATACGAAGAGGTAGACACAGTATGCAGTGCGTGTGGAGAAAAAGAAGAAACTGCCGAACACTTGATAATGTTCTGTAAAGGCTTCACCCTATAGTTCAGGATGATGGCGCAGAGTTTTTCAAAGCACTGGGGTTTAGGGACCGGGAGGGCAAAATAAACTTTAAGCGGGTAGACTTAACTAGAAGGAGGTTATCTGATTTTTGGCTAAAGTCAAAGCACGAGTGAAAAGTACTCTTCACTGCAAAGTACGAATCCTCAAACTCGCTTTTTAAGGAAAAAAAATAAAGTTTTTGGTTCATTACGTATTACGGCTTGGTGGCGCTAGCCACCACCCGATCTAAAGGGTACAGCCATATCCATCCATCCATCCAGCCACACGAATGGACGGATAGACAGACAGACAGAAAGGCAGGCAGGCAGGCAGGCAGGCAGACGCGTCACCTCACTCACCATTATTCACTCCGTGTATATGCGCTAATTTTTTCAAAGGGCAGCGTTTCAGACGTCCATGTTGTAATTTACTTGGTTTTCAAGTTATAAACCACGACATTTATTCTTGAACAATAGAAAGCGAACTCACGGGCTCGTTTTTGTTTTTCGTCAGACGCATTGTTGAGAAAAAAAAAAGCTCTCACAGTTTGTTTTTTTTGCCTCTTCACGCGTGATTGGGAGGGGGAAAGGGTATTGGTCAGTTGCGAGTGACGAAAACATCACGCTATACGTGCTGTCAGGAGGAAAAAAAAGTGTTCGAGTTTGTCGACGAGCGTACGAGCAGCGCTGAATAACCCTCCCAAGTTTGAATGCACAGAAATACGCAGAAAATAGACGGTCCTTTTAAGGAGGCCCTCTGTGACCTTTGACGACCTCATTGTTTTACATGTTTTCCTAGGTTCTGTCTCACTTTCAGTGAAAAACTAAGCTAAAGAAAAAATAGGTGCAATGGTAATCCCTATTTTGATGCAATTCCACGATAACATTTAACATTTCATTTATCCAATCACAGATCTGCACCTTCCACTGTCATTTCAGCTCGCAATAGTTCTGGCGAGCATCACTTCGAGTTATGCATTCAGCACCGATGTTTTCAAGCGTTAGAGAGCTCTTTATGCCTGAGTGACCGCCCATAGCGTACAAATACCACAGCTACATTTACATAGGGGGAGGGGCAACATCTTTTTATTATTGCCATCTTCTACAATCACTTTGGCCGAATCGAAACTCTAGAGTAACTTGCCTAAAACTGCCATAAAATACACCAAATCTGTATATCTACGGTTTCCACAGTGACGCAGAATAACGAAGTGTCTCTTACTCGCATTCCGTGGCCAGCTCCTGCGGAGTCTCCGGCATGCGCCGAGTATTCAGATATGGAACGAACTCTTCACCGCAGGTGCGCAGCGCCTCGATCTTGCAGCCGGATTTCAAGTGGGCTCGGCACGTACCTGCAAAAAACAAACGTTGACATCCCTGCCAGCAGGCCAAACTTTGTGCACTGAAATGGCTGTGAAGTGCACGTTTACAACGCATATCTGGCGCACGCTTTGGTTCAACAACAAACTCTTTCACCTAATTTAGCCAGACAGGAATAATCTATGCAAATTATAAGAAATTTTCATACTGCTAGAGGTAGGTGCCGGTGCCGGGGATTCGAAAAGTCCTCTCGTCTTTTTCAAGGCTGCGACTGATTTCATCAGTTCCAGGCTTGAAACAAACAGGTACACGTGTCAAAGCTTCGGCTTAGCAGCAACCTCGGCATGTTTACGGATTTTTCATCGGAAACGTCCATCTTCCCATAGTTGCCTTTGTTTTAGATCACACATTTCCTATAACTCAATTTACCCACAGGGAAATAATTTACACATTTGATATAGTCATCACACTGGAAGTATAAATCTTGTACCGAATACACATTAAAACGAGGGGGGTGCCTGTGAGCACACAACATTCATTGCTTACCTACTAAGTTTACATATGAGGTGGATTCCTCCTCAACTTGGCTTCTCTTCACTGTGGTCTTACAAAAAATCGATAGTTGGACGGAAAGATGTCTGGTCAGAGACGCACGTGATACACCATTAAAAAACAACAACACACGGACAACGATTAAAAGCAAATCAAAGCGCGCTGTTTCGGCCCCCGTGTGGGAACCGTGTCCAGAAGTGAAAAGTGAGTGTGTGAGCAGTGCAGTTATGTATGCGATAAAATGTGACGTAAACAACGTGTGTAGACGTGTGAAAAGTTTCCGTCATTTCGACTGAGTGCGTGCACCATCGTCTGGATCGTTACGAATTAGAGATCAAGCCGAGATGACCAGTTCTTTCTCTTTCTGTTATCCAGTCTATTTTGTGTCAAGGCCTTCTCGTGTCTTCAGCAAGCGCATTCAATGAGACCTGCCTTTTTACGTCGTACATATGCTGTTTTAGCCTTTGTGGAAAATTACCAGTCTCGCCTATTCAACTCGATTTTTGGCCCCGTGCTTTTATTATATATATATAAATGATATTGCTATGTGCCAGTGCATGAAGATGAAGAGGACAAAGCAGACAGATTAGCTCGCGCCAATCCATCTGCTTTGCCCTTTTCATCTCCATGCACTGACACGTAGCATTATCACAGAGGTTCAGTAAGCACCCGAAATTAAAATGATCGCTGACGACATAAGTTTATTTTTCACGGGCTCTATCATTCAGGAAGTAGAAGCTTCAACAAATCCATACCTATGGAAACTTTCAAGTTGGCTAACAAAAAACAAACTAAAATTGAACACACGTAAAACCAAATTTATTATGTTCAGCGAGACCTAGAAGCAAGCGGATCAATGATAATATAGTCATTGTGTCTCTCATAATCATTTGGTGGTTTATGGATGTTATACCCCACAAATCAATCAAATCAATATTATAGTCATTTCGTTCAGAGATCAGCGACTAAAACATGCCAGTACACAAAATTTCGTCGGAGTCTGGTTTCATGAGCACCTGTGATGGAAACCTCCCGTAAATTGTCCCTTAACAGATTTGACTTGTTCGGTAAGGTGCTTGAGTAAAATCGCTTACCTTCTCCCATCGTGGTTGTTTAAATTACTGTAATATAGCTTGTTCTACTTTAAACTTTTATATGAAACTTTGGTGTGGGGAACAACATCTGAAACCAATTGGGATAGATCGTTAGTTTTACAAAAGCGCGTGCTTGTATTAGAGAAAAACATAAAGGTCATCCCAAGGACTTAGACACTCAACCACTTTTGCTCAAACACAAAATTCTGGCTGTTGGAAAAGTTTCAAATTTTTAGCTGATGCAACGGCATAGATATAAACTACAGGATTTTTACCCACGCACTATATCAACTAAATATTACTTCAGAAATTTAGCCCACAAAACAAAAAAACAATGAACGAATTACGGAAAGCAGGGCAACGATTACAAATTTATTCATTTGCACGCCTTCATGAATCAAATATAGACTTTACACTGAAAGCTAAACCATTTAAATCTCATCTTCAATCGCTTCACTTCTCGACTGATGTCATTGTAGAACCATAGTCATTTACATTTAAAAGCTTTTTTATGTTTTGTTTTTGCTTATTTTTCTGATTGTTCACTGTCATTCTATGGTGAGATAGGTTCTAACAGTGTCCTTTTTTCAGTACTGATTGTATTCTGAATGTATACTGTGTGGAAGGAAGCGCCTTTTAAAACGTGTACTTTTATTTGTATATGCCAAAAATACATGCTCTGATTGTTTGATTACTTTCAGTATATATAAAGTTAATATATTATGGCATGCCAGTATCTTTTTTCCACCAATGAAATATGTAAATACGTGCAAAATATGTAACCGATGTATATAGTTGTGTCTTGCTGTTGTTTACATGTATATGTCACTGATGCAGACTGTTTTGGTTAATAGGGGGTGAGACCTCGTCAGGCTTTTGGCCTTTAGTCTTTGCCTCCCAAAGGGTAATTCTGTATTGTTTTCTTGCATGTAATGAACGTTGAATGGTGGAAAAAAAACTGCCGCTACACTTTCAGCATGGAATTCTGTAGAGAACGCCTGGAATACATTTTTTTTTTGGCAGCTTGTCTTTTACCCTTAAAATGAAATGCCTCCATTTTCGTGTAGGCACGTGTGCAACCTGCACAGCTCAGGAATGTAGAGCACGTGCAAGGTGTTTGCTGACACCAGGAACGTATGACACAAAAAGCACGTAGCATGGGTTTCCAAAATGTGCATGGTGGTCGAGCCATCGGATGTACTACGGAGCAAAGAGTTTCCTAAAACTAACTAGAGGGGACTCTGTCACTGCGATCGTTCAGCGACCATGGGAATGACGTGTAGTACACACATTTGCCTAGTCTTCGTACTTGCGGGTGGCGAATTGTACTTGCAGCTTCGTTTATTGCTGTGTTTCGGTTTTGTTACATAGCAAAGAACGAACCCTTTGAACTTCGTGACCCGATTTACAAAGGTAAGTCTATAGGAATGAGGTGATGAAGCGCAACCACTGAACATTTGCTGTTTTTTGTTTCGTGGAAAAGCAGCTCCAAGCCAAACGAACACACATGGAGTCAAAAGCAAGCCAGAAGTAGGAATATTAGACAAATATGTGTACTACCCATCATTCCCATGCTCGCTGAAGCGCTGTGCGTTGCAGCTCCCATAGACACTAGCGCCAGAGTTTCCTCTAGCGTATATTAGAAAACTGTGCCGCGGAACGCACGAAAGAGTCTTAGTAGCTACTTCTGGACAAATTCCGATGTGCATGCTCCATGTCGGCAATGTCGCCCTCTGATTTTTCGCAAACACTTTTCGCGCGATTCACCAGCGAGGCGCGCCGCACATTTTGTGAGAAACTGTGTCCACGGAACCTAAATGCAAATAGCGAACCATGTGAGAGTGCGCTTCTTTTCTTGACACTGAAATCGCTTTCAATTTATTTTAATCAGATCAGTGTATTTTTTCAATTGTATATCCTGGTATTACAAGGTACCGCAGTCTCCAGGCTCACTGCCCTACTCTGCGAGCAAAGTAATTGAGTGAATGTTGGCCAGCGTCCAGTGTCAAGACCTATGAACAAAGGGAACGAGTTTGCGTTGGAAAATATACTAAGTTTAATTAGACACAGCTTTGTGTATATTAAGGTTTCAGTATCGCGTGGGGTATAATTCAACCGTAACATCTTTCGCAGTCCAACGCCATTTTGATTGCCTGAATGTAACTTGCTCTGGCAATGACATGAAGAAAAAGTTAACTCGCGGTATATATATCTATATATATAATATATATATATATATATATATATATATATATATTATATATATATATATATATATATATATATATGGCACAAGATAAGTGAAAAACATCCGACCTACATAGTAACTTCAAGGTCAAGTAATGTGCAATGACCATGCATTGAAGTGAAACTCTAAGGTGGAAATTTATGTCTAATTTGAATGCATTCATTATCTCCAACAAAAGTTCTTCAAGTGTTGCGATGGACGTTCTCACATAAGCATGCACCATTTCAAATATATGGCTTTAGTGCATATGAATAACAATGAAAAGATTTGTTTTAATTTTCCTACCACGTCGAACACATGCCATCAAGAGTTCGAGGCCTAAATTACCATAAACACAGTACTGGTATATAAATAAGTGCCCCCTGGAACGGTGTAAACAGGTGCAGAAAGTAACGTGAATAATGCTCAGTGAAACTTCCCACCAGTGATTTGTGTAAACGACAACATTTAAATGCGTCAATTTTTATGACATACTTTAATTCATCTTAAGTCACACTGGTGGAAATAAGCCCCGCCGTGGTGGTCTAGTGGCTAAGGTACTCGGCTGCTGACCCGCACGTCACGGGTACGAATCCCGGCTGCGGCGGCTGCATTTCCGATGGAGGCGGAAATGTTGTAGGCCCATGTACTCAGATTTGGGTGCACATTAAAGAACCCCAGGTGGTCGAAATTTCTGGAGCCCTCCACTACGGCGTCTCTCATAATCATATGGTGGTTTTGGGACGTTAAACCCCACATATCAATCAATCAATCAACTGGTGGAAATAAATCTACGTAGAAGGGGTTTAACGAACACTTCCAATTCAACTGACGATAAGGCAAATTAAGCCATTTGTTGCAGCAGTGAACTGCGTTTAAATTTTTTTTCATTACTTAGGCGCTCAATATCGCTCTAAAGTGCGTCATGATAGGCCGGTGTCCTATTTAAATATTCAAGATACTTTTATTGTTTGTTTATGGGTCATCAATCGACGCGTTGAACAATCTGACAGAGAAAGACACGGACGTTAACCAAGGTTGCTCTGGCTTTCTTACAATTATCTTTGGCATTACAGTCCTTTTCACTAAGGTGAATAATAATAAGAAGAATCTAGCCACTGTGAACATATTTGTAGACAAACGTTCTCCGGTGACCGCAGAAGATGGCGTAGTTCATTCACTTTCGTAGTCAACAATGTGAGAGCCCTTTTACTTTTGCACAAAAATTTAAAAAACTCAATAAGCACGCTATAAAATCCTATAAAATACTTTCGTTTACCCCTGGGTTTCTTTTGTGAATTCTGTTTCGCGTATTACCTGCAAGGGAACTGAAGGAGAAGAAAAAGAATGCCAGTGTAAGACTTCATGTGACCTGAAGAGGCTTCTACAGGGTTTCTAAGATGAAATATTATTTGCAAAAGAACTTGTTTCCTGGCCGTAAGCAACTGAAAATTACACTTTATCACAATGTTTGACTTAACACCGAGGATGATTACCTAGCACTGAAACCCTCGTGCACACAATTCATTTCCCGTTATTTACAATATTTATTTTATGGTTGATACTTATTAATGCATTCAAAATATATGTATCGTCCTTTCTATGTTAATATTCGCTTAATATCGAACAATACAAAGAAGTAAATCACTTCAGAAATATGCAGAAAAAGAGAAGTGAATCTTTGAATGATTGCATGGGAAGGAAGACAGCACTAAAAGATGAGACTAAAGAACGAATAACAGTTGTTTATTCAGTGTTGCTTTCTACTGTTAATCAAGAATGAACCTGTCAACAAGCGTACGCCTCTAATAAAAATGTTCAGTTGGCTCGCATTTACAGCTAACACCGATCGGGCGACCAACTATATTGTAAATGGCTGATTTTGTTCAAAAAGAGTTAGCCGGTTCTTGGTCACTTGCTGCTCAATTCTGAGTTGCGCTACCGCAGTCGCAAGCCCCTGAACCAACGAGGTGAGCAGGAACTAGATGTCAGGGTATCTATCTGTGCAAGCAGACGTCAATGGTGTGCCCTCGAGTACAATGCACTAGCCAGCGTGGAGATTGGTGAATGCTGGTTCGACTGAAAATAGATTACTATTTTCGCAATGATCACCCTGGAAATGCACACCATCTACATTTTATCTGCAAGTGCCAGGTGATATTAAGGTATATAAAATGATCAAATCCCCCCTTCATACTTGCGGCGTGATTTAACGCCACAGAAGAGAGGCACACCAGACATATATATACACGGAGCGCTCACTTCTTCTTCAGTGTCTTTCTTCTGAGGTATCGTATAACACTGTAAATATGGAAGCTAACGATCACATATGCACACAAACAACACGGTCAGTCGCGTGTATTGCCATTCATGCAACTTGCGAGTACGAATGAGCCTTTGTGTAGTAGCCTGGAAGGATTCAAGATTTCTTGCCATAAACACAAGTTATTAAACGGCGAAATGAACGTTTATCATCTCATGTAAACATGTAAATGCAGTAATTTTTAACCACCGAGGCTGGAAGGTTTAATCTTTCACGATTTCTTGGACAAGTAACACAGCTATGACTCACCATGTAAGTGTATGCATATATAAAGTGCAGCATATGAGTAGGCTTACCAAGTATAGAAGCTGACAAAAGGCAGAAGAAGCCATAACTGAGACACGCTCTCATTTCAGCCGTTCACGTCGTCTTTACCCTGGAATCAGAATCGGAATGATGTCTTCATTTCAACCAAGCCGTTCCTCTCGTGAAGAAATGGTGCACAAACGGGACGCTGACGGCGGAGAGCGGGTCCTGATGTGTATCCATTTCGCGTCTGCATTCTGTCGGCGACTCGAGTCACTTCTAATGCTTGTGCAGTTAGTTTCAGTTTTTTATGTTTTTTTTTGCACAGCCTGAAAACGATCCATCGGTGAGCATGCTTTCGTAACCATTTGAACACAGCGAAATCTCCTACCAGTTCTTGAAACGTAAGGACGTTCTTTTAACCATTCCGATGCAGTACGTAGCAGTATTTTTTTCTCGGTTTTATAGCTTCGGTGCGTATACCACCCCAACCTTGGCAGCAATACACAGCGGTGGCAAGCCGCTTGGATCTTTTACTTTCTCGTCACGTATTACGCTGCAGCCTCATTTGTCCTGCCGCAAGACGTCAATGAACCCCTTTCTCTGAATTAATATCGTAGCGAAACGGCTTCAGCAATCAATTTAAACACTGAAATCTTGAAGTTTTACTGCGCCACAGTTCATCTCGGCATTCCTTTTTCTTATAAAACCTTTCACATTTATTGTATGCAAATAAACATTTGAGGTGTACCTAAAGTTCTTCCTTTGTCAGTTGTACATTGTTTTTCTTCTGGTGCAACTCTGCGCCACTGTAGAAGCTAAGTTCCATCTCAAGCCCATTACCTGAGTGCGCGTAGTCTGCTGGTTTTAAAACAGCAGTCCGGCTAGGAATAAAGTTGCAAGAGCATTGAACTTCTAAAGTACATTTATACGTAATGCACTCACTTGTGTCAACCCGACGCCATTGCCACGTCTCAAAATAAGTGCTGACGTCACCAACCTTATTAGCTGTTTAAAAACTGGCATTCATACCTTACAGGACATAGCCGCTGCGAACAGCAGATCATTTCACGATCATGAGATTATTATGTTTCCTATGGGGGGCATTGAAGACACCCAGTTTATCGCGGCTTTATTCTAAGGTAAAGCCCATAGAACGTGGATGGATGCTACATAAAAATGCATTCGTGTCATGCAGTCACATCTGAATTTTTCATGTACATTTTCATAAAGTGCTAACCGAACAGTGAGGCTTACACGAGGTACCTCTTTCATACTGCTACAATTTGTGTGGTGCCTTAGTTATTCCCTTTTCTCGGAATTCATTCTTCTACCTTTTGTGGCGGTCCGTTGCGGTGAATGAATGGTTAAAGTGCTCGGCTGCTGACGAGAAGGTCGCGGTATCGATGCCAGCTGGGGTGATCGTACTTCGATACAGACGCAGTGGTACAGGCCCGTGTATTGTGAGGTGTCCGTGCGCGCTAAAGAACACTGCATGAACGAAAGATTCCGGAGCCCTCCGCTACGGCGTCTCTCCTAATCATGACCTCAAGTACTGTTAACTTTTGTGAAGATCACCTATATTTTATGCTCATTACATACCGCACTGTGTTTTTTTTTTCTTTCTTGATTGAGATTCATCGAAATGTTTTGAATACGCGCCAATTCCGGGGCTCATTCAGATCTTCTCTTGATGTTTCATGCTTTTCCTTTCATCGCCATCATTTCAACTCTTTCATTTCCCTTTCCATCGACTCACATTCACTGAAGGAACTCCAGTTTGCTATACTGGAAAAGAAAGAAACGAATTGAGTACGATAACCTAGGCACCGCACAAAACTGGTTTGGAGACCTGTTTCACGACTTTAAAAAAAAATACCTCCATTGTGTACTCATGATTTTCCCTAATAATGAATGCCAACCACACTCCTCAGATTACCATTTGAATGAATAAAGAGGAGTGCGAACAGTGCGAACGACAAGGACAGAAAAGACACACACAACCATACCTAGCGCTGACGTCAGTATACCGCATGTTTTAGTAAGTGTGTCCCAAACCTTCGAAAATCGGGGAGGTACTAAGTTTGCTCAGTGCCTTAACAATTGCTTTTTCTGCACTGACAGATATGTAAGATCGGGAAATACATCGTTTGGGACAGTAATTAAGACAGTTTTATAATTACCCTTTAAAATTTGTTAATTTCGGTGGTTGTCTCATATGGCATATTTGAAGCACTGCATGCGAGGGACCCATAGTAGCTGTGAGTTTTCCAACAAGTGGCCTTTTGCTATTATTTATACTAATGAAATTTAGTCAATTTCAACGCGAAACCGAAATCGAAATACTGATGAGCGCTTCACTTCACTTTTTATTTCCTTAAAGGCCCCCTCAATGGGGGTATTACATAACGTGTGGGATTACAATGGGGCGACATATATACTTAATGATAATACACAATTATACATAAAAATATACGTGAACAATATATACACATTTGTAATTAGGCACATCAACCAGATATGCAGATAATTAGTAGCCACATATAAACATAAGAGTAAATTAGTGCTTAAGCTTCTCAGCAAATGATGATGGGCAGGTGATATCAGCGATAGAACTGGGCAGGCTGTTCCACTCAGTCGATGAACGGCAGAAAAATGAGGCCGAGAATGTAGTAGTGCGGCTGCGTGAACGGGTTACTTGTAAGTGATGCCCAGTACGAAGGGAGATGCGTGGTGGTGGGGCCAAGATGTATGGTGTCTGATGAAGCGAGCTGTAATAAAACTTGTGAAAAAGGATTAGTGAATCAATGCGGCGCCGGGATGACAATGAATCTGAGCCGGATCGTGCCTTCAGTAGTGGTACGCTTGTGAGCGCAATCAGCAGACAACCAACTGTGAGAAATACTTCAACAGGACATCAATCAACCGCTACTTCGAGGGACGTCCGTGTGGACCAAAAAAATTTGAGAGAGGTTTTCCGCCAGTAACCTATTTCTTGCTGACGCCATAACATTTCTGAACGAAATTTCAACCACCGAAATCAGAGTCACTGGCAGCGGCGATGATGTCGATTCGCTTCAACATATGCATGGACATCGTTTCAAAATCGAAGTCACCTATCTGGCAGCGGTAGAGCCTACATTGATATTACGCACTGTTTCTTGGTATTGAGTAAACCAAACATGCCTTTTCATTTAAATGAACCGCCTGCCGGGACTCAAAACGTGTTCGGCACGGTTGTCCTGCGCGCATGTTCTAGCTGTCTGAAAACATAACGCAGCTGAGTTACAAACATTTGCCCCGTATCTGCATGTTTCACTGCAAATGTCATCGAATGTTGCGTTTGGAGAGAGTGAACAAAACGTTCATTTGATGTTCTGCGTGAGAAAATCGGTGAATTGTATTACGGAGGCACTGCGTCATTAGTGCCTCGATTCGTGCAGCGAAGGCGAACCAGCGCATCGAGGCACGTTATACATGAGCGCTATCTGGCCGTTATCTTCGAAAACGAAAGAAAGCGTGCGTGCCTGTCTCGGAAGCGATAAAGCTTAGAACGCAAAGCGACGGGCTGGTGCCACCACCATGTCTTCTTAGCAAAGCGCTGGAAACACTTGCCTTTATGAGCATCGCGTTGCGTTGTCAGCGCATCGTCATAAACGTTACGGTCCTTAGAATAACTTATGTGTGCCTTCTCTAGTATAAAGAGACACATACAGAACATTGACATGTTGTTATTGTGCCTCAGATATGCGTAATAACTGCTGTTAATTGACAATAGCAGAAGTATTGACGCTGACAATTGAGCAATATTGATGAGCGCTGCTGATGAGGTTGGATTTTGACGTTATGGTTTTGGCGTACAAACCGATCATTTGTTTCGCTCACTTATATCATAAACATACTTGTATAGAAAGCGGACACTCCCGTAGGGCCCTGAGGTCCAGCTACGGCGCTGCTTTCAGCGCCACGAGTGGTCGCTCAGACTCCATATTGTCTTTAGCATAAATAAGATAACATATATTTTTTTTCCGACACTGAGATTTGAACCTGTACCCTCATACTCCGAAAGCGAGTGTCTTTACCACTAGGCTACACACTTTTTTTTTCTTTATTACCTGTTTTTCTTTACAAGTGTTCACACAGAAACATGAATGATGAAATACACTTGGACCAATATTTGATCCGAAGTGCTCACATTAACATTTTTTCAGGTTGCACAATTCCTCTAATATTGCCAGCCAGCTGGGAGGTTCTTCTTGTTGTTTATACACCTCAGTGATTTACCGCATATTGCAATGAAGTTCTCCCGGACAGGACGTATGTCCTGGTCAAGATGTCTGTAAGCCATTGTGGTTTGCCAGATGCTGTGAAGGCTAATTAACATAACCATGTCGTATGATATGCCATCGTCATCATCCACAGAGAGAAAACGAATGCCATGGCTTGTAATGGGGAGATCTCTTTTCAATGTTCTTTGAAGGATGTCGCAATGAAAGACAGCGTCCCAGCAATGAATAAACACGTGGTCTATTGTCTCAGGTGTTTTACAAAGTAAACAATTGGTTGTCCATGGTACATCGATTCCCTTGTCCGCTAGCCACTGCTTTACGGGGAGAGTCCCGGAATGCAATTTAAAAAAGAAAGTTTTTGCCCCTGCTTTTACTTTCATCCTTTTGACCCTTTTCAAAACGTCCTGTCTGGGTCCTGCATTGAACATAGATCTGTACAAAGGTGTTGGGAACAAGACATCACGGAGATCTCTGTACAGATTTTCTCGCTTAACAGTGGCAAGATATTCCAACGAAAAACGCACTTTCATAAACTCAAAACACTGTATAACTTCTCTTAAAAAACCAGTCACATATCAGCACATATCACTGTTTGTATAGACACAACCAAATCTAGGATGCGTGATGACAGTCTTACTTTTATGACTGTTTGCAGAAATTTGTTTCTTTGATCGCGAAGGAAAATAAATCGAGCGACAACTTGTCTGATAAATAAATGACATAAACTGACTCCGCCATTGCTAACGGACTGCAATAACTTAGGCCGGCTTGTAGGTTCACACGGCAATTTCCACACAAATACAGCAAACATCCTGTGAAGCTTCTGTACATTGACGCGTGACATACAAATAACTTGCATGACATACCAGATTTTCGATATCAAAAACATGTTGCATAGAGTCGCACGTGCGAATATAGACAGATCCCGACTACCCCAGGCATTTGTTTTTTGCCTGAGGGTTTCTGCTTCACCTTTCCAGTAATCCGCGTTGTCGCGATAGCTGTCCAAGGGTAC